GTGTTATGTGCCATTGAGTCGCCTGCAACCCATAGTGACTCCATGTGCAACAGCGCTGAAGCCTGCCCTGTCCTTAGCCAGTCTCACTCCAATACACCTATCCCCATTAACCCAGTTACTGTATCAGTCCATCTCATCAGGGGTCTCCCTCTCTTGTGCTGTCTCTCCACCCTTCTGAGCATGATGTCCTTCTCCAAGGCCACATGCCCAAAGTATGTGAGACAGAGCTTCAAATCTTGGTCTCCAAGGAGAAACTTGGTTTCACCCTCTCTAAGACAGACCTGTTTGTTTTCTTGGGAGTCCCGGGTATGTTAAAGACTCTTCTCCAGGACAAAATGGCACTCAAATATTTGCACGAATGGCTGATTAGCTTCAGAACACTTGCCTCCAAGGAGCAGCCAGGTTTTACCCTCTAGGATGAACCACTGACCAGTTGGCAGCATCATAATATATGATAAAGAGACTGATATTGTTGACAGCTTCAGGTTGCTTGGCTCTACAGTCAACACTCTTGGTACCAGCAGCCAGGAAATTAAAAGACGAATAGCCTTGGGAAAGTCTGCTGTTAGAGACCCTTCCAAAGTACTGAAGAGCAACAGTCTCAGTCTGGAGACTAACGTGTACCTTAGTCTTTGCAATTACTTGCTTTGCATCAGAGAGCTGGGCAGTGAGTAAGGAGGTTAGAAGGAGAGTTGATGTCTTTGAGCTTTGGTGCTAGAGAAAAGTATTGAATATACCATGGACAGCTAGGAGAACAAACAAGTTTGTCTTGGAGAGGGTGAAGCCAGGCTGCTCCTTAGAGGCAAGGATTCTGAAGCTTTGTTTTTGGACATGTTGCAAGGCAGGATCAGTCCTTGGAGAGGGGTGTCATGCTTGGGAGGGTGGAGGGACAGCACAGGAGAGGAAGACCCTTGATGAGATGGATTGATTCAGTGACTGGGGTAATAGGGATGGGCTTGTTAATAAGATTGGCAAGGGGGTTTAGGGCTGTTCTCCTTTAGGGTCGCTTTGAGTCACAGGTGACTTGATAGCACATAACAACAACAAAGAGCACTCTGGTTGCACTACTTCTAAAACAGATTGGTTTATTTTTCGGGCAGTTCATGGTATATTCTGTATTCATCACAAACACCGTAATTCAGAGGTAACATTTTTTGGATCTATTATTCATTATCTAGCCCTCTCATGCATGTGGGCAATTGAAAATACTACAGCTTGTTGTTGTTGTTGTTGTTATGTGCCATGGATTAGTTTCCGACTCATAGCAACCCTATGCACAACAACCCTAAACCCTGCTCTATCCTGCACCAATCGCACCGCCTCTGACACACCCATCCCGATTACCCCAGTCACCGAATCAATCCATCTCATA